CTCACTTTTTGAGAGGGGGGTTCAGCTAAGTGTCAATCCACTAAAACAAATGATTTTTGGAGTTGAGTACAGTGGGTGCTAAGTCAAATGAGTAATAATAATATTTATTAGACGCATAAAATCCTCACAAAAAGAAATTTAACAAGTATAATCTAAAAAGAAAAAAAAAGAAAAAAAAAAGCCTATTCTAAAAATATAAAACAAATCAAAAACAAATATGAATAAACAATAAAGACAATTTGCATGATATTTAAAATGAAAGATGAGGAAATAAGCCTTACCAACTCTCTCTAGAACAGTGTAGTATATGTCATGATTTTGAAATTCAAGAATTATTGTTTTCAAATCCGCAGCACGAGCTTGATACTGAAAGTCCACATTCAGATTTATTGTCACACCATCTTTGTTAAGGCACTGCAAGTCAGGAAATGAAATTGTACGGAAAACACTGGGAAACTTGATAAACTCAAATCCTGGTGGACCTGTATGGAGTCCTTCTTGCTCTACATTATCTGATAGTTTCTTTTGTATCGTATCATACGCTATACCCACTGCAAAGAAAAAACTTATTATTATTCCTTCTTCTTGTCAAAATATTGATTTTTTTTAAATGTAATTCAATAATTCCAATCATGTTGCTGTTGAGAAGATCAAGTTAAGTTGGTTGAAACAGTCAAAGAATACCAATGACAATTAGGTGTCACATCTCTATCTTTTCCATACAATGTAAAGTACTTTGATTCAGTGAAATACAAATATTTCACAAATTTCATGAGTGAAAAACATGGATTTTTGTAGGAATGAAAATATCTCTGAAAGTGTACTACACTGAGATGCTCACTGGATCTGTTTGAATGTTACTGAATGTGATGATTGAGAAAACAATGAACATTATAAATAACATTTTCCATATACGTCATAATGTAAATTTTAATAATTCATCTTGAGATATTTAGTAACAGAGACAGAGAGAGCATAGAACATTGTCATAAATTACTTGACTATTTGTTACTTACATTCACATCATTGTATTTATCACTGACATAATCAACCATAATTGTAATACTTCACTTACTTTCATCAGAGTTGAGTTGTTTTAACGATGATGCCACTAATCCAATTATAATAGCAATAACAACAACAATTATTGCACCAATAACGTACATATATTGTTTCTTCATCTTTAAATGCAGCCAATAATTAATGCAAATGAAATAACTGAAGAGAGAAGAAGATAAAATTACTGATTTTCTTTTTATTTATTAATTAGTGTTGTTTTTCAAAGAGGTGGAGAATTAATCACCCACCACCCATACAAGATATAAGATCACAAACTACATTACCAGTTCTGATACACCACAAACTACATTACCAGTTCTGATACACCACAAACTACATTACCAGTTCTGATACACCACAAACTACATTACCAGTTCTGATAAACCACAAATTACATTACCAGTTCTGATACACCACAAAATACATTACCAGTTCTGATACACCACAAACTACATTACCAGTTCTGATACACCACAAAATACATTACCAGTTCTGATACACCACAAAATACATTACCAGTTCTGATACACCACAAACTACATTACCAGTTCTGATACACCACAAACTACATTACCAGTTCTGATAAACCACAAATTACATTACCAGTTCTGATACACCACAAAATACATTACCAGTTCTGATACACCACAAACTACATTACCAGTTCTGATACACCACAAAATACATTACCAGTTCTGATACACCACAAAATACATTACCAGTTCTGATACACCACAAATTACATTTACCAGTTCTGATACACCACAAACTACATGACCAGTTCTGACACACCACAAAATACATTACCAGTTCTGATACACCACAAACTACATGACCAGTTCTGATACACCACAAAATACATTACCAGTTCTGATACACCACAAACTACATTACCAATTCTGATACACCACAAATTACCAGTTCTGATACACCACAAATTACATTATCCTTTGCTATTTGCAAACAGTGTCCTCCCAAATATGTAAAACCTTTTAGACGATACAGATCTCATACCACCATTAACATATTAGCATTTGTAGTAATACAATCATGTGGTTATTGTTTTTCTCTGCATTTGATTGGAAATAGGACATATGAGGGCATACTTCAGTTAAGTCAGACTTGTGTATAAAGCTCAGGATATTGACAAGCACCAATTAAGTCTACATTTTGGCAAATGTTGATTAGACAATACAAAACTGACTGTTTTTCTGAGAAACTTGAAAATAGAAAGTCTGGTAAATCATGTAGCAGTTTGAGATAAAGAACGTGTGTAACACCAGAATTATATTACATACATGAAGTTTCAGTCAGACACTTATGAAGTGTTGTGCCACTAAACTTGTTTGATTTGCTGCATTTGATGATTTTAGGAAAACAATCAGGACCACAGTTTGGGAAAAAATTAAAAGATTTTGATCAAAATTGTTGAATGTTTATTTTGTGTGACAAAAGTTGACTTTGGCATTCAAAAGATTAAAGATGGTGGACATGTCTGGTTGGATATAGTACCCATAGCAACAAATAAAATGACCGTCCTTGTTAGTTATCAAATTTAAGATATATAGTTTTGTTTATAGTAATATAGCTGGAATATAACCATGTCAGGAATATGATTTTTTAACCTTAAAAAAGATTGACATTTGTATCTGATCGTCTAACAAGTACTTGTCCATATTGAGAGATATTGCTCTGGAACAGCATTCAAAATCAGCCATTTTGAATACATGTATATATATAACATGATGTATAACTAATATATAAAATTTGAATATAATCAGTCAAAGCATTTAAGATATATGGCTCCAGAAGCCCAATCATTAAAACAAAATGGCCGCCAGTCAGCCATTTTGAATCCAATCTGAAAAATAAAATGACGTGCATCAGGAACCTGTAATGTTTAATGTATGTACCAAGTTTGAACAAAATCCATCCATAAATGCTAGAAATGCTTGATATTTGATGATTTTTTAGCACAAAAATGACCACCATTTGGCCATTTTGAATAGGATCATCAAACCAATATATCTGTTTATCTATGACATGATGTATAATGAATATTTAAAATTTGAACATAATCAGTCAAAACAAGTCGGAGATATGGGTCTAGAGGCCCATTCATTAAAACAAAATGGCCGCCAGTCCGCCACTTTGAATCTTATCTGAAAAACAAAATTATTTGCATCAAGGTCCCATAATGTCTAATGTATATACCAAGTTTGAACAAAATCCATCTGTAAACAGCCGAGAAATGCTTGATTTTTACGATTTTTTAGCACAAAAATGGCCACCATTCGGCCATCTTGAATCAGATTGTAAAGCAAATTGACGTGCATATGTATAATACCATGTATGATGTATGTGTGAAGTTTGATTGTGATTGGTCCAGGCATTTCTAAGATACAGGTCCGGATGCATGCACGCACGCACGCTTGCACATACACACGCACGTACACACGGAGGTCAAAACATAAGTTCCTGTTTTCGGACTGCATCCGAACGGAGACTAAAAAACTTGCACATGCGCATTTAAAAAATGATGGCCGCCTCCTTTAATTACATCTATGTACAAGTAAAGTTCAATTTCATTTGATGGCAGTACCATCTTTAAATTTAGCAATATGTGGTGATGATGCTTTCTGAGTTGCCGAAACATGACTTTGGAATATTCTGCCATACCATGTTAAAATCTTTCAAACTAGACTGAAACACATTTTTTTCAGGAGAGGATTTGGCTTTATTAGCTCCATTGTCATCATATACAATTGTTTTGATACTTTGTAAGTAGATACCTTAAATAGATTTCTATCAGATTTGTTCATTTCAAGACGATATCTTCAATTCTCTATTTTTGACAAATATTTTCTCCACTTTTGGTAAAAAATCCTATTTTTTACTTCTTTAAAACTACCTGCTCAATTGCTTTGATACTTGTTATGTAGGTACCTTGGGTGAAACTTTGTCAGATTTGTTCATTTCATGATGATATCTTCAATTCTCTATTTTTGGCAAATATTGTTGTCATTTTGGGTAAAGAAATGCTATTTTCAACTTCGTCTATCAGCTCAATTGTGTTGATGTTTGGTATATAGGGGCAATAGGTAGACCTCTATCTATTTGTAACAATATAATAACAATTGTAAATGCCATGGCAACAAGAAAATAAACTACATTTACCATGGTAGAATAAATTGAACATTGAGCACTCTACTTTGAACACTACCGTAAAATCTGTATTAGAAGCTGCATCCCTAATAGAAGTCGCACCCATTCTTTTTAAATAATTGAGAACCAAAAATTCGTCATTTCTCATATGTGTAGATGCTCTAATAGAAGCCTCATCCCCTCTATTGCATTGTACCATTTTAATAGAAGCCGCGGTTTCTAATACAGATTTTACAGTAATAACCATGGCAAATAGTTACATGTAATATCTCAAGTACAGACCATTATTCCCTTTGTTTTGAGAAAGATACTCTATGAAGACAGCAAAGCTATTTCAACCTTAGGTTGTACATGATATACTAGTACCGGATTCTGCTGTAAATTCACCCACCCAAAAAATCGTCCTTTGGGAACTTCTATTTTGATTGAAAAATCCACCCATGCCGACTTTCAATGCCGGTAGACGGACCACCCAAGACAAAAGAAATCATTGCAGAATTAAAAATAACTAATAATTCTTGCTGAATTAAAAAGTAGACTACCGAGGGTACAATGCACCTAATCAGTCTCAGATGAATTTAAATATTCCTTTATTCTTATCACGCACATACAGTGCTCATCTCCAGTGCTACTGAAAAACCACTGGAAAGACAAACAGATGATTATGAACTCATTTTAATATCCAGAAAATGTTTATTCTGTTTTGTTATCTGTACTTTATTCATAGCAGACTTACATTGGCCATTGCTTTCACATATTTTTCATACTGAACATTCCACAAAAGTGCTGATAAACCTTCATGACCTTGTACTTGAGAACAGACCTACATTTTTATGCTGGCAATTTTTCCATAACTTTTTATCACATTTACTGAGTTACTTCAAACAAAACACTAAACTATGAATAACAAGTCATTGTCAATGACACGTCCCCGTTCCGTTCATATTTGAGTGACATATACATTCAAAGCAGATCATGACCGAAATGCACCTGCATATGTACAACACATTGTGCTAAATCTGAACAAAATCCATCCATGCATGACTGAGATCCGGTTCTGGAATTGTGAAAATACGTGATTTTGATGCATTTTCGGCCTTAAAATGGCCATCATTTCGCTATTGTTAAGCAGATCATGAAACAAAGGCACATATCTATTTGTGACATGATGTACCATG